AATCTGAATTCACATTTTTTGATTTTAGAAATCAAAATGAAGATTATATTGTAAACAAAAAATTTTATAAATATATAAAAATTCTTAATTCATTTATCAAGTAATATATCAAATAATAGATATTGATTATCTTTTCAAAATGAGAAGATAGCAAATTAGAAAATAATCTTAATCATATTTCATTTAATATTTTTTTTATATAAAAATTTATTATTTTTCAAATAAATTTCTCTCTTGATAAATATTCAAATTTCTCTAGTGTGAAACAAAGAATAGGAAAAAATCATTATGGAAAGCTAAACTTGAAGATAAAATTTAAATTAAATTTTAAACTAATTGTATATCTACTAATTCTATACGAAACAATATTTATTTTCATGGAAAGTAAAATAATGGAAAAAAAATTTATTAATTAGAAATAAATAGAAATAAATTATTTCTTATTTATTTAAATTTTAAAATCAATAAAATTAATAAATGTATTTTTTTTGTAAATAGTTATATAAAATTATTAAATAATTATTATTTATAAGAATGATTTTGAATAAAATTAATAAATTTAATGAATAAACAGGTTTATAAACATCATTATATTAGTATTCATTAGATTAGAAATTAAAATTAATAATTATAAAAAATGTAAATATTTTATATTTAAATACATATTCGTTCGAATAACTTCTCTGTGATCATTCGATATAAGTTAGATAAGGACAAGAAATAATGAAACAAAGACAGAGATAGTAAAAATTTAGCAATTAGCGCCATCTCTAAAGTATCACAAATTAGTTAAATGTAGAAAAGGATGCAAACAATAAGATAAAAATAAAGTAAAGAATCGACTTTCAGCGCCATCTCTTGAGTATTTTATTTGTTTTCTTTGCGGCACTCTAGAGATGGCGTTAATTCCTTAATTTTTATCCTATCTCTATCTTTTACTTATTATTTGCTCTCTTTATTTTATTCTTAGCGCATGATTATAGCTATAAATATTGAAAAATTCAAACGAACATTTGAATTAAAATAAATTAATGTTATGATATTTAATTCTAATTTCTAGTTATAAATAAAATAATCTAATGAAATAATTTATAAATCTATTTATTCATTAAATTCATTATTATATAATTTGAAAAAATATATTATTTTTAATAATAAAAGTTTTATAATTTGATAAAATCATTTGCAAAAAGAAAAATTACAACATTAATTATTATATATAGCATTGTAATAAATCACCAGTTTATTAATTAACAATGGAAATCTAAAAATTGATAAATTATTAACCATTATATTCAAAAATTCGATTTTAATACAATCGATAAAGACCGTATGTTTTCGTCGACTTTCGTAAATCGACAGTTGCGTCGATCGTTTATAAATATATATAATACTACATAAATCGTGCGAAAACAGTCATTCTTAACAGAGCCTTCGTAACGTATAGATCGCAATTATAATACATTAATTAAATTTTTATAATATAGCAATAAATTTTCAATATTTAAAAAATTTTTTTTAATATTTATTTTCAACGAACATTTAATATTGTTTTCATAAATTATACATATATTTAATATTTATTTATTTTAATTTTTTATTAATATTTATTGTTTTATTTACATATTCATTAATTTAAACATTTATTTTTTGGTTTATTTATTTCTTTAATTACATATTTATAATATATATAATATAATATAAATATATATAATACATATACATTTATTTATATTTTTTTT